TGGCCAGCGTGTGGCCCGGCGTCGCGGGGCTCTTCCTGGAGGACCCACCGAAACCGGGCGGCCTGGGAGGGGCGCCCGTGAGATGGAAACGACAACCAACAGCGGTGACTCAGGCTGCTGGCCTGGCGCCGCACATAATGCAGGGAGCGTTTTCCTTTCGCGATCCCCCTTGGGCCACTGGCTGCTTAAGATGCCCACTTGGCAGATGGGGAGACTGAGACCTGCAGAGGGTTCCGCCTTTTGCCTGTACTCGGCCACTACTAGTCTCAAAGTTGGATGATAAACGCGGTGGGGCTTGCAGACCCTCGAGTGGGTCCTGTAAAAAGTAAACTCGGTTTTACAGGAACTAGGTGAGCGGGGCGCATCGTGGTCCCAGTGCCCGCCGTTTTCAGCGGGATCGGGGGAGGCTAGCCTTACGCGGTCTCGCCGCTCGAGGGCAGCACCGTTCCAGGCTTACGGTGGGACCCGGGGCCTGCGGTCGCCCAGGGCTGGGCACCCTTTATTTCTGTCTTGGACGCTGGGTATTCTGGTCTCCAGGTAATGGCATACCCAGGAGGCCCCTCTGCCTGAGCTGAGGGTGCGCTAGGTCCCAGACATCTCTGTCTACATCTCTCGCTGCATTACCTTGGGCAAATCATTGACCTCTCAGAGCTTCAGATTCTTACTCTGAAATGGATATTGATGTCACGCAGGATTAATGTAGGCATTTAAAAAAAGCATAGGAAAGGCCCTTGAAGCCTTGTCCATGCACATTTATCATTTTAAGCAATAGGAAAAGAGGAAGGGGGGTACTTGTTCAAGATGTCACACCATAAGAATAGAAGAGATAGGACTGGACCTTTTAAATTTTCGAGGAAAACGAGGCTGAAAAAATGAATTCACATGGAAGCATGGGTGATGAGATCATACTGCTTTCTCGTCCAAGTTGAAAGGTATTGGCTCCTTTTCTCAAGTCAAACAGAAAGAGATTCCCCATGTGATGGCAAAGGTAACCCAAGTTTTCACTGACGAGCGGTGTGGTTCTGGGCAAGATCCTCGGCCTCTTGGACCCCAGGTCCCTTACCTCTGAAATGGAAATAAGAAAGACTTGTCTCTTTAGGTGGTTATGAGGGTTAAATGAGATAACCTGTGAAAAGCCCCTACTATGTAATAGTCACACAAAGGAAAAAACTTGAGTAAAAGAAACATACTAAATCCTCAGTGGAAGAGAGACCCTGGGTTCAGGAACAAGAGTGCAAAAGCCCTTTGCCTTGGAATGACTCAGGCTCTACATTCAGAGGCTACTGGCCAGAAGGGGGCCACACTTGGAACCTACTCTCCCACACCCTTGCCCAGCACCCAGTCTCTACTGGTCTCTTAGGAACAAGGCGCCCAATCCTAAGAAAGCCTCCCCTTCCCTCCATTCACAGCCACAGACACATCTGTGAAACACAATTTATTATACAAACAAGGTGCATCAAAAACTCAGTGTCAGAATAGCTCTGTATTCCAAGGGTTAGGGACTGGACCCCCCTTAAAACCTCCTCACCCCATCCCATGCCAGGGAGTCAAGCTGGGAACACAGGCCCTCAGTCTCCAAAGACCCCCAAGACTGGCACAGAAGAGTGAAAGCAGATCTAGAAGCATTAATTGTGGGTCTGGGGAGTTGGACAGGCACTTGAACCTCCAAAAATAGGGAGGCTCCTTCTGGAACAGGCTGGACCTATGCCCGGGCAGAACACCCAATCCCTCTCTAGAACAACTAAAGCAAGAGTGTGAACCCATCCAAACTGATAGATGTGGCCAGAGTGGCTCAGCGGTTGAGCATCAACCTATGAACCAGGAGATCATGGGTGTGCAGGAGGCAGCCGATCAATGATCCTCTCTTATCATTGGTGTTTCTATCTCTCTCTCCCTCTCCCTTCCTCTCTGAAATCAAAAGGAAGAGAAAAAAAAAAAAAGGAGCATGTACCGCTTGCAGGTTCATCCCCGACTAGTTGGGGCAAGTGTGGGAGGCAAGGAGTCAATGTGTCTGTCTCACATGGATGTCTCTCTCTCGCCCGCCCTCCCTTCCTTTCATTCTCTCTAAAAAGCAATGAAAAAATACCCTCAGGTGAGGATTTTTAAAAATTAACAAATAAAAATAAGGGAAGGGTTGGCTGCCTTCTAGAGCAGTTGGGTGGGCGTGTTATCTGACCTCCATATCCTGTATAGGGGCAAGTGGCTAGGGGTCAGCACCAAAGGTCTGACCAGGGTCTCCCTGCCTTTCTTCCACTTAGTGTATGAACCTTAGACTGAAGACCTTCCACTTTCTCCCTTGCTCCTCCCAGGTGTAGAACAAAACTCACGGGACAGGCTAACAAGGAGAATCCCGGGGAATGTGGGAGCTGCCCCCAGGCCCAGCCCAAAGGACCCTGAGGTCAGGAATCTGGTCTCTACCTAAGAGTGGCCACAAGAAGTGCCTCCAGGCAGTCAGGGAACAGTGGTCTAGACCAGGGGCCTCCAGCTGACCCCTGAAGAAGGCAGTGCTTGTAACTGGTGGCTAACACACCGTCACACAGCCTGTAGCTCCCCCTGCAGGCGACTCAGCTCCTCTAACTCCTGCTTGTGGCGGTCTGTTTTGTGTGCCACCAAGGAGCGGTAAAAATGCAGGGCAAAGGCCACAAACACCAGCCCCACAGGTACCATGATTGCTGTGGAGGCCATGGCTGCTTGCCATCCTGGCCCATGGACCCCACCACCACCACATGCTTGCTGGGGTGGGCAGGCCTCAGATGGCGCAGCCTGTGGAGGGGCTACTGAAGCAGAGGGTGGATTAGAAGCCGGACTCAGGGAAGTGGCCATTGGTGGCAGAGTCCCAGGCACCTGGGAGGCAGGTACCACAGGTGCTGGCTTGCCCATGGGGGCCCCAATGGGCACAAACTTGACCCAGCCAACAAGGACAACTTCAGCGAGGAAGAGGAAGGTGCCTAAGGCAGTGGAGAAGCCCCAGGCCAGCTCCACGTAGCGGTGGAGTCGCTGGTGTGGAGACTGGTGGACAGAGTTGAGGTTGTGGATGTTGCTAACAGCTTCAATGTGGGGCAGCAGACAGGTGGAGACCATGAGCGCAAAGAGGTGCACAGCCACTAGCACAGTGGTGCAGGCACTAAAGGCCACCAGTAGGCCTGGCGGGTATTCGTAGTTGTTCTCCAGTTGCACTTCCACCATGGCCACCTGTGGGGACAAGAGGGGATGGATTCAGTGCCTATAACTTCCTGAGCAGTAGCAAGGCTGTATCCTTAGGACCTAGAACAGTGCCTGGCAGAAAGACTCTCAGTCTTGCCCTGGCCAGGTAGCTCAGTTGGTTAGAGTGTCGTCCCATACACCAAAAGGTTGCAGGTTTGATTCCTGGTCAGGGCACATACCTAGGTTTGGGTTTGATCCCTGGTTGGGGTGCATACGGGAGGCAACCAATAGCAATAGCAGTTTCTCACATCTCTCTCTCTCTCTCTCTCTCTCTCTCTCTCTCTCTCTCCCATCTTCCTCCCATCCAAGTACTAACCAGGCCCAACCTTGCTTAGTTTCCGAGATTAGATGAGATCGGACCCATTCCAGGTGGTATGGCCATAGACTTCTTCTCTCTAAAAAGCAATAAAAACATATCCTTGGATGAAGATTGAAAAAAAAAAAAGACTCTCAGTCTTTGTCGAGTGAACGAATGGGCAGCCTTGGGAAGGCTCTGGCCTGTCTGGGCCTTAGTTCCCCCACCTCGCTATTAAAACAGCTGGATGACATTTTTCTGACAATCTTACCTCGTTATAAACATAGGGGTTAAAAAGCAGATTCTGGAGCTGGGCTGCCTGGGGTCATTCTCAGATCTACAAGCTGTGTAGTCTTGAGCAAGTGACTTAGTCTCTCTGTGCCTCAATTGCCTCATCTGGAAAATGGGGATTGAGAATAGCACCTATCTGCTTTATAAAATTGTGAAAATTGAATAGACATCAAATGATAAGAATAGTGCAAGGCACATAGTAAGCACTAAGTGTTTGCTGTTATTATTAGAGTTAACACTAAAGTCCAAGGCCAGTTTGCAAATTGGCACACCATGAACCCAAGAATTAAGTTGCCAATTTTTAAATTCAAGAGATTTTGCCCTGGCGGGGTGCTCAGTGGTTAGAGAGACCCAAAGGTCACAGGTTCGATTCCCAATTCTTGGTCAAGGGTCAAGGGCACATACCTCAGTTGCAGGTTCCATCCCCTGGGTCCGGAAAGGGACCTCATCCAGGAGGGAGGCAATCAATCAATGTGTCTCTCTCATGTCAATATTTCTTTCTCTCCCTCTCTCTCCCTCATCCCTCCCTTCCACTCTCTCTAAAAATCAATGGGGAAAAAAAATCCTCGGGTGAGGATAAAAAAATAAATAAAACCCAAGATATTTCATAGAAATATCCCAATTTCCAGATCCTCTTAAAAATGTGGAGGATCTGGTTACACCCGGTCCACATTCTTCCATGACAACTATCAGCTAGAGTTGAGTCGTGGCTGCTGCCTTTGAACAGGGCAGGGTCTCTTTATAGCCACAGTCCCCACAAAAACAACTTGGCTTCCATATTACCTGCCTGGATCCTGTTCAAGGTTTGTATAAATTTGAACTCTAGAACTAGACTGCCAAAGTTCAAATCCTGCCACTTGCTTGCTGTGGGACTCTGGGCCGGTGATATAACATCTCTGATCCTGTTTTCTCATCTGCAAAATCACCATTAATAGTGGTACCTATTTCGTAGGATAGTAGGTAACACACATAAAAGCCCTAAGCACAGTGCCTGGTACTTAATGACAGTTTAATATTATTTGTATGTTATTTTCACCCAGGCCACCTGAATTCCAGAATCTGGATCTTTTCCCAATAATTCTTGCAGGACCCATTAGATTGCTCTGGGGCTGAGGGAAGGAGGAAGTGAAGAGCCTGGAGAGTGGTGGTAGAAAGACAAGGATGAGTGTTTGGGGAAACTGGGCCATGAAGGGTATTAGCAGGTGTCGCCCACAGACGGGCATCTGGGCCAGGCCTACTCCTGCTTTCTCCCATGGCCTGACCCAGGCTTGTTTTCTCCGGGCACGACTGGAGCCAGTCCTGCCCCCAGAACCTACTCATCCGGCCTCTGGATCCTGCAGAGAAGATCCTGGCCTTTAAGCTGTCACCCCAGCAACATGCAAGTCCAGCAGCAGGCCAGACTGAACCATGCGGTGGATGGGGGTGGGGACCTCCCTTAGATGGGTCCATGAGACTGCCTCTTTTCCTCTCCAGTCTGCACAGGGGAAGGAGAGCCAACTCCCTGTCCCTAGATGATTCCACGTTAGGAAGAGTAGACTGGCCTGTGGATCCTGGGCCCCCACATAAAAAAAAAAAAAAATCATAGGCCTAGAATGAGCCTTGGGGATAGAGACTTTCCCTCTGATCATTTTAAATACAGAGGCTGTGGCACTGAGGGTAGGGACTAACCCAAATCACCTAGTGCTCTGACCCTTCTATCCCCATCTCAATTTGCCCCCCAAAACAGGTTCCTATAAGGATGCCTGCCCCCCCACACACACACACACACATCTCTCTCCTGCCAGCCAATTAACAGGTCGTCTGAGCCATCTTTGATGTGTATCTTGCTCTAACATGCTTAGATCTAGGGTTTGAGGACAAGAATCAGCTCATCCTAGGGCAGGCACTTGGCAGACTACAGAGGGCACACCCTCCACCATCTCCCAATTTCCCACTGACCTGCAAAGTGGGGGAGACCTGCCCAGGGTCTCCGGCCACGAGCAGGAACGAGCTGACTCCTCACCCGGGGACCTCCCTCAGTCCCACTTCCCGAGGAGGCCTCCTCTGGGACCGTTAGCTGACATCATCTTCCCACACCACCAGTTTATCAGCTCGGGAATCATGTAATCAGTTTCCTAATCAGCTTCTTCCCCCACAGACTTCCTCACAGGCATCCTCTCCTCTCAAAACTTCCTGGGCTACACTCAGCACCCTTTGTACCTGCTGGGTAGATGCCTTCCTTGGGATGGGCCCCACTTTCAGTTGGGTGACCACCCCATCTGTTTATTTTCTCTAACCCCACCCCCAGCTGTTGATACAGTCCCTCCCCAGCTCTGATTTGCCTTTGAACCTCTCATGGCCGGGGTGGGAGTGGTGTCTAGTAATCACTCTGCCTGGACTAGGCTTTTGGACCTTGGTCCCACCCGTGCATATGCAGCCCCCTTGGTGGATTATCTATCCCATGACGTGATTTGTACCCTCCATGACATTTTTAGCACTTGTTTATCCTCCCTGTGGCCCAGTTTATGCCAGGGGTCTGTTCACACCCCCCCCCCCCCCATTAAAAAGGGATTTGTCATCCCTTGGGAACTTGTTCGTCCCCCTCCTTTACCTCTTAAAACCCAGTCATTCCTTTCCCTTTGCCCAGCCTCCCTTGGGTGCCCGTTCACTTTGCCTATGGCCCCCTTCCTCACCCCCACCCCGAGCGCCCCACCCCTCCCCTCACCATGGCGAAGCCCGAGAGCAGGGCAGACGTGCGGCTGGAGGCTTTGAGCTTGGCCCGGCTGAGGTAGAGGCGGCGCCAGCTGAGCGCCCGCAGTGAGTGCTGACTGGCCCCCATGAGGTCCAAGTAGCCGCGGTGCACGAACTCCCGGTA